CCGATCCCAGCCCCCCCGGACCCAATCCCGCTTCCCACCCGACTCCCCCTTTCCTCCCTCCGCGCGTATTAGCGCCCCCCGCTGCGCCCCGTTAGTTATCCAAGCCCTATCATCTAGCTAATCTATCTCCTTTCAAAATACTCTTGTGTCAATCTACCTTTAAAAACGCTTTTTTGAAATTTCACGATTGAAATTATTATTATTATTATTTTTATTTTTTTCCTTAGGAATTATTTATTTTTGAAATTACGTTTGTACTATTTTCAAAAATACGTCCCAAATAATTCGTCAGTTCCACAAAATCTTTTCGAAATACTTTAGAATTAAATCACCCTTTTCACAAATTTCTTTGAAAATCTTTTCCGTTTGAAATTTTCCTTTTGAACCTCCCTTTTGCATTAGCTAATTTGTTCTTTCTCGAAAATTTGAATTTAAAAATACTTTTGAACTCATTACTTCTTTTCAAAATTTCTTTGAAACATATTGAAATTAAGTATTCTTTTTCTTCGAAATTTCTTTTTCTTTTTCTTTTTCGAAATTTATTGAATACTTTAGCTGCTGAAGTTTAGAATTAATTCATCTCTTTTTGGAATACCCTTAATTTCTTTCCAAATTCCTTGGAATCCTTTTGCAACATATATTTAGCCCTTTTCCGAAATTTTGAATTCACATTTTGAACTTTGAAATTGATTACTTATTTTTACGAAATTGTCTCAAAATTTCTTTTCTCTGCCGAAATTTCTTTAAATTCACGTTCGGAATTAATCCTTTCCTTTGGAATTAATTACTATCTTCCCAAAATTTCAACGAAAAATTTTAAAATTCCACCTCCTAATTCTTTTTCTATAATTCGAAGATACTCCGAAATTTCACGTAAATAAAATTTGAAATAAATTCAAATTTATGATACTATTATTATTATTATTATTATTATTATTATTATTTTACCCAGGTTTGCCGGCGTTCGGGACGGGCCGAACGCCCGAACGTACGGGACCCCTTCGGAAGGCGTTCGGCCGTTCGGGCCGAACGGGGAGCGAAAAAAAAAAAAAAAAGCAGTTTTCAAAAAATTCCGAAAAACAAATATGTTTTGTAGAAAAATAAACTAAACAACATTTGCCTGGGCACTACATCCAAATTCTTTACCAAATTTGAACTAAAAATCAAATACAGAAAATAAACACTATGATAAAAATAAGAAAAAATAAAAAGAGAATTAAAATGAGTGAGTGTGCCAGCACCTTTTCGACAACACCATCTTTGCCGATTTTTAATTATTGTTTGGCATTGACAAATGACCTGAAAATTTACAGATATGTAGTTTACATAATTAATAACTGATTAATTTTTTTTAATAAAAATAATAAATTTTTTTAGGCCCCGAAATAAAGTGAAAACAAAAAGTTAAAAGTGAAAAAAGACAAAATAGTGAGTGGGCGAGCACGTTTTGACACCCCCAATTTTGAAGATTTTTAACGTTTTTTTGGCTTAGCCGAATGGCTTCAAAATTTATAGGCGTGTAGGTTACATCACAGAGAACTCACAAAAAAACATTCAGAAAACAGAACTTAATTTTAGGCCCCGAATTGTTTTTCGGCGGTGGCCGAACCTAGAGGTGTTCGACCCCCGAACGGGACCCGGAACGCCCCAACGTTTGGGGGCCAGCCCGGGGGCCCCCGAACGTTCAGTCAGGTAACCCTGATTTTACCAATATTTTGAACAACGAATTTTGTAAATCTCTCCTTCGGATCCTTCAAAATTTGGTTCTACCCAAATTAATTTCGAATAAATAAAATTCCAATCGTAATAAATTTATTTATTCAATATTAATTCCCTACTTTCCAAAAAAAAAAAAAAAATCTTGGCGATTATCTTTATTTTTGAATTTATTGATAAATAAATAAGGGATTGCCCCCCCCACCTCCACATGCCACCACGCCAAACCAAGAACTCCCAACGTGTCGCTGCTGCCGCCACCCCTGCTGCTGCATCCTCCACACCCGTTCAGGCCACGTCCTCCACCCCCTCTTCCCCCGACATGGCCGCATCCTCCATCAACATGTCTGACACCCGCACCGACTCAGTCGATAGCATCGCCCGCAACCTCGCAGGCGAACAACCACCAGCAAACACCGCCATCCCCGACCTCTCCGCCATCCTCCACGCACTCAACACCCTCCGAACCTCCATCACCGCCTCTCTCGACGACATAAAGGCCAACATGTCGTCCATATGCGACCGCGTCACCACGATCGAACGGACCATCCCCTCCATCACGGTTGTCACCACCGCGCAAACCACTCCCTCCTCCACAGCGCAAACCACTCCATCCTCCACAGCGCAAACCACTCCCTCCTCCACAGCGCAAACCACTCCCTCCTCCACAGCCGCCTCCAGCAACACCCCCCCGTTGACCTCCTCCACTCCTTCCGCCTCTACCACCACATCCACCAACCCTTCAACCTCCACCACTGTTCTGTTCCCTCCACCTCCTCCCTCATCCGGCGCATCCAGCACACCGCCTCATTCCTCGCCCATCCACGTCACCCCTCTTCCCCCCCCGCACTCCCAAACCCTCTCCATGACCACCTCCACCATCCCCACCATCCGTCCCACCTATTCCCAAGTCACCTCCGGGGCTTACCCCGCAATGCCACAACTCCCCCCCAACTACCTCCTTGAGGACAACACCCAAACGGCCACACCTACTACGACACCACCCCCGATAACCTCAGCTTCAACACCCTCGCGCAGATCGTTCACCGCGACGGGGAAATCCCCTGTTCCTTCCGATCTGGCAAAATCATGTCCTTCTCCGGCCTCCTCCACGAGGACGTTTCCCTCTTCCTAACCCAGCTTCAGAACTCTTTTCACCTCCACCACATGCCCCTTGCCCACTGGCTCCCCATTGCCACCTCCCGCCTCCTCGGCAATGCAGCCAAATGGTGGATGGCTGAAGTTAGCAACCGCCGAGCCTCCGGAGGACCACGTCACACCTTTCTCCAATGGGCCAACCTTCTCACTGCCACCTTCGTCCCCAGAAAACCATTGACGACTACCTCGAACAATTCTGCCACCTTCGCCAGACCGGTCCCACGGACCGCTTCGTCCAATACGTTCGCTCCCTCCGCCACCACCTCCCCCACACCGTCATTCCCGACTTTGCGTTCATCTCCCGCATCAAACGAGTATGCCACAAAGACCTTGCAACCGCCCTCGCCCACGAACCTGACATGCCCCTTGCTGACCTCCTCTCTCCCATGCTTCACCACGATCGACTCTTCTTCTTCGTCGTCATCGTCTTCTTCTTCTTCTTCTTCCCCCCGTTGTCTTCATCCTTGTTGTCACTGTTGTCCCCTTTGTTTGTTTCTTCTTCTTCTCCTTCTCCCCTTTGTTTGTTTCTTCTTCTTCTCCTTCTCCCCTTGTAGTGATGATGACAACAATAAAAGAAAATACCTTGGGTATATGAGAACTGCGTCTTCTTCTTCTTCATGGCTGTGTGCTTTTGACGATGATGGCGGAAAGGATGAAATACCTCAGGTACTGAATTGTATATGGAAACTTTGGGTTCCTGTGCCTCACATGTGACTCAACGGTGCACACATGAACTTTTGTTAAAGAAATTATGACTTAGGAGCTATACTCAGGAGAAGAGGGAGGGTTATCTCCCGCTTTCGAATCCTGCTGTGACTTCAGCTTTTGTCCTGATTGGTTGCTGTTCTGACGCCCGACTCTAAATTGTGTCCCACCTCCCATGGCCCTTCCCGTTCTGCCTCTAGGATGTGGCTGTCAAAGTATTTCATGATCAAGACCTGAGCTCCGATATGGCTGAGTTCAAGAAGGAGATCTCAATAATACGGCGGCTGCGACATCCAAATGTAGTGCTCTTTATGGGTGCTGTTATCACACCACCAAGGATGTTCCTTGTGATGGAGTTCTGTGCCAGGTTAGTGCATTTTCTGCCTAACGGTGTACGTCAGGTTAGTGCATTTTCTGCCTAACGGTGTACGTTGTCAATGCAAATCCACGATGACTTGTATATGTACTGAAATGTGTTGACGATTGAAGAGTGTGCAGCCCGATCAGCTATACGGCATTGGACTCTCACTATGACACCCTGGGCTCAAATCTCGGCGGCTGCAAAATAATTCAAAAATTGGACGGGGCCTAAAAAAAAAAAAAAAAAAAAAAAAAAAAAAAAAAAAGGATGTTCCTTGTCAGGGAGTCTTATGCCAGGTTACTTTATTTTGCGACTGCATGTTGTCAATCCAGGATGGTCATGGATGTACTAAACTGTGTTTACGACCAAGGTTTATTATTACTTATTAACTTATTATTATTCTCTTGGAGTCTTGGTGTCATTATGTCCTGCTCAACAAGAATATGAAACGATTTCAGAACTTCGATATTGTATCAGGTTGGCTGCAGCCTGCAGGATTCTCATTTATGGAGCATTTTGTCCCCCCTCCCCGCCCCAAAAAAAAAGAAAAAAAAGAAAAGAAGGATCCTCATTTATGGTTAGAACGTACAAGACTAAGGGCATACTCACACGGCGACTTTGTTTCTTGTTTATGGACGTGATTGCGGCCAGATGCAGCCAGGTCCGGCCGTAATTGGAGTCAGATGCATTTTGGAAGGTGCCAGTGTGAGTATGGCCTAAGCTGTAAAAAGATCTAGAATGTCACGGAGAAGAAGGATGTGTTTTGTGCTGTGCTCATATGGCCTGCTGATGGAGAGCAACCCGGACTTACGCTCCCCACAAGAGACTGCAACCCAGACCGTAAGGTCTTGTTTGTTCAGGGATCAAAATAGAAAGAACAGTACAAGAAACAAGAAGAAGGGTCCTCCGGGACATCCGTTAAAATGCAGAGAGGATTAGTGTGGCCTCTGTGCAAGGATGACACAAGAAGGTGAAGTAAGCAGAACAGGGAGTGCGAGGAGCATAGGCAGGAGAAGGAATAGAGAGCACTACACAGAGTAAGAAAAAGCATATGGTAGAGTGACAAGGTATGTTGTTGTTTTGGCTATCTTTTACTGCTGACCTCTACTAAACAAAGACATCAACCTCAACTACATCACAAACATAATGGCTGGAGACTCGGAGAGAGAGAATTCTCTGATATCCAGACAGACACTCTCAGAAGAGCAGGCACAGGCCCTAGACAGGCCGATCTCCGAAGAGTAACTATGGTTCGCAATCCAAAACATGAATAACTACAGATTTCTGAGTATTTATGAACTCCCAAAAGGAATCCCGGCCGCAATTCTGGCCAGTTATACCCATCTTCCCCTGAATCGAACATACGATCGTTAGAGCTGTATTTGGGGCAACTTACAGCAATAGTCACCATACATTCTATTCGGGTGAAGACGGTAGGTGAGGATGTAATGGAATTTTGTGAGGAGAGTGGGAAACCGGTGTGCTCAGTACTAAGTGAGGATCCAGTGGCTACCGTAGTCACTGCCTGTTTGATTCCGCCCATTGTTGTAGTTCCTCCTTCGCCGCTATAAGTATACATTGGGGAGGCCGGGTTGTCTATGAGGTATGATTTACCTGTTTCTAATAGTCCTTCTAACAGGTTTCTGTTGCCATCAGAGAAGTCATGCGACAGTTGGGGCCCCTGGATTGGTTGGGGGCCGACCAGCCGACCAGCCGACCGTTCCACTGGCCGGCACCTGTCGGTTGGTGATCGGTTGGCACCCTGCAAAAAAAGGG